TATATAACATAGTTTAAATTTTGATTATCAAACAAGAAAATCTATGGGCGCTATTTATTCATATGTATGTCAAAAAAAATTTAAAGTGTTAATTAACTGTTGTGATTTATAATATTTTTAATGGAGAAGGACCTAAAATATCACTCAACCATTTTGATTGGTACAAAATTATCCTCCGCCCATCTTTCGGCTCCCTAATACACCCGACGTTAATCTTTTGACTTTAAAATATCCTTTTTTTAATGGCACACTCTCATAAAGTGGATGGGGGGCAATATTGTATCAAACCCCACAATTTATGGGTATTTTCATCCCTTCTCCATTAAAATAATTCGAAATTACTTAATATACGGGCTCATATGATTGACCCGATTTAGAATAGTAAATAAATAAAAAAGGTTAGTCTTGTACTTTTTACAATCCCCCCCCCCTCCATCACTTGACCCGATTTCGAATTTCATAGTAAATTCTTCTTGGATCTTGTCCACCATTTTAATATTTTTTTTCTTCAATTTATGACAAAACAAGGGAGAAAAAAAGGAAAAAATAACGATGACATTCATATAGAATAATTAGGTCAATACAAATGATTTGATTAAGCAACTATGTACGTATACTACATTTTTCTTTTGTGTCTACATGAAATTCAAAATCAAAGAATGAAAATAACATTTTCTCCTATCCCCACCCCACATGACCATGATAATAATACAAATTAAAAGAATATGAACATGTACGCTTATTTTGAATTTGAGTCTCTGATATCCTAATTAAGAATATGAGATTAAAAAAAGAAGAGGAAATGAACAAAACAATTGGATGATTGATAAAAAAAAAATTATATTAATAAAAATTAATAATATTTGTTTGGATAGACAATTAGACAAGGCGAGTATAGATTTCAATTGGATCCCCAGTTATGAGTTGGTTATAATAAATTGGTAGTTGATTCAAAATAGGACAATAGCTAGGCAGATATCGTGAAATAAGTAATGTTTTTTATATTATTTTCAAGTGTATCGAGTCAAAATAGGAATCATATGTGACTTTTTATTATTTATTTGAGAAATGTTTTAACTTTGGACCAATCAGATGATGCAACATAATAAATAAATATTTAATAATTTTATTTTAGGGGTACTATTAAAAATAAGGGCATATATGAGTCAAAGGGTTAATATCAATGGTATTTTTGAGCTAAAAGGTTGACGTCAGGGGTATTTGCGGGTCGAAAGGCAGATGGAGGGTAGCTTTGTACCAATTCAAATAGTTGAAGGATATTTGTACTCTTCTCCGTATTTTTACTATAGTTTTAGATATAAAATTATTTTTCAAAAATCTTAAAAATTGTATTACCAAATGCACGATCAAAATAAAAAAGTTTCATTCTTGAAATTGAAACTATGTCATAAATTGAGATGTAAAAAGTATTATCTAATTTTATTGTATTCCAAATAATTAATATTGGCACTCCAACTTAGGCATATCATAGTTCTTGTACTAACCATCATCAAACAAAGGAGCTTACATCTCTAGATAGAACTCCTTATTGCATTATGAAGTTGGTACAATTTTTGGGGAAGGTCTATTAAAAGGGACAAACAATTTAGTCAATTAGGTCGGAGTCCTTCAAGTCTTAAATATTGTGTAAAAGTGACAAATGAATAAATAATATTAATTTGGTTAAAAGATGCTTTCTCAATAGCCTCCAATTTTTAATATTTACACTTTTACCTCTATATTTTTTACCTTAAAATATCTAAAATTTTACCAAAATAGACACAAAAAAAGGCGCTCTTTCTCAACTTCATAGTCTTCCCAACGATCCTCTTCAACCGCAGGTATATTGGTCAATCCTTTCTTCTTGTTCTTGTTCTTCATTTTCCTTTATCTGCAAAAATATGTGCTTTTATTGAGAATATCTATCAAGAAAAATTTATGAAAAAAGAATATTAAAATATATATATGTTTGAGTTTTTTTTTTTTTAATGCATTTGTTTTATTTGAGCTTTGAATAAACTAAAAAGAGCATTATTGATAAGTATGAAAATCACTTTGTGTCCATTCCTAAGCTCCGTTTAGTGAACCCAAAGTGATTGTTTCAGTCAACAACTTTCGTAGTTGTCTAGGCGACTGCCGAAGTTGTTTATTAAAATAATTAAATATGTCTCTGTTGATGTCCAACAACTATCTTTAGTTGTCCGGCGATAGTAGAAATTATCCCAACGACTAGTGCAGTTGTTCGACAACTGTGTTCTATTGTTGGTCTATTGAAGAATTATAAAAATTTCTAAAGCTACTAAAATTTTCTTACTATTGTTGATAGTTATGAAACAACGAAATAGGTGTAAAAAAAGTATTAAATATTCTTTAGTGATTTCAAAGTTGTTTGATGAGTATCTTACTAGCTGAAATATTGTGTGGTGTCTTCAGGTATTGTGTCCATCTATGGAAGATCAAATAATAATTGCAGTTGATTTACTTGGTGAATAGGTAGAGAATCCTACTTGTTATACTTGGTGATCAAAGGGTCGAGAAACATTACCAATAAAGACAAGTGAGAATGTTACGTATAATGAGTTTATTGAGATCATTATTTCTAGGTTTGAGTTAAATTGTGATAAAGATGATCTCTCTATTACTTACATGTTTGGCTTCATTGAAAGCAAAATGGAGCTCCCTCTAGGATAAGGGATGATCGTGATTTACGACTTTTTTTGGATGATCGAAGTAGGCCCATTTTAAGAATATTTGTTGAAAAGATAGCATAGACAACAAATTCAGTTGCAAATGATGAAGAACATCATATTACTATTGATTTTCCTATAAACGAGGATGTTTCTCAACATTTTATACCAATACAAGGCAACCACATGGATGATGACGGCACAAGTTTTTATAAAGATAAAATTTTCAAGGACAAGCGAGAATTAACTAAATTGTTGAAGCTTGCTTATGTGAAAAAAGATCAAAGACACAAAATCAGTGAAGAATTCGAAAGATGTGTATTGTGCTAGATGTGTAGATCAAAACTGTGATTGGTGGTTGCAAGCAACAAAACTTCAAAGTTGTAATAGATTTGAAATTAAACGATACCGCAACATTCACTCAGGTGGAGCACAATATCTTACAAGTAATGGTGTAGTTTCATGACTTTTTGTCATATTTATAACATGTACTTAATGATACGATTATTAGTTCAAACAATTTAAATAGTTGTATCTCAACAACTTCTAATTTTTATATCAAAAACTTCTAATTTTTATATCAAAAACTTTTAATGTTGTTGGACAACTGTAATAGTTGAAGGGTCAAGTCCTTCAAACAACTGCATTAGTTGTCCAACGATATTGAAGAGTTGTCCAATGATATTGGAGAGTTGTCTTACAACTTTGCATAGTTGTCTAATAATAATTGAAGATCGATCTAGCCATTTTGTAAATTATTAAGTATAAAAAAAATTATTTAATAATAACTGAAGATCGATCTAGCCATTTTGTAAATTATTAAGTATAAACTAAGTCATTTAATAATAATGGAAGTTCGATCTAGTCATTTTGTGAAATATTAAGTATAAACTTAGTCGTTTAATAATAACTGAACATCGATATGGTCATCTTGCGAATTATTAAGTATAAACTAAGTCGTTTAATAACGATCTAGTCATTTTGTGAATTATTAAGTATAAACTTAGTCGTTTTATAATAACCGAAGATCGATTTAGTCATTTAGTGAATTAATAAGTATAAACTAAGTCGTTTAATAACGATCTAGTCATTTTGTGAATTATTAAGTATAAACTTAGTCGTTTTATAATAGCCGAAGATCGATTTACTCATTTTGTGAATTAATAAGTATATACTAAGTCGTTTAATAATAATTGAGCATCGATCTAGTCATTTTGTGAATTATTAAGTATAAACTTAGTCGTTTAATAATAACTGAAGATCGATTTAGTCATCTTGTAAATTATTAAGTATAAACTAAGCCGTTTAATAATAGTTGAATATCGATCTATTCATTTTGTGAATTATTAAGTATAAACTTAGTTGTTTAATAATAGCTGAAGATCTAGCCATTTTGTAAATTATTAAGTATAAACTTAGTCGTTTAATAATAATGAAAGTTCGATCTAGTCATTTTGTGAATTAATAAGTATAAACTTAGTCGTTTAATAATAACTGAACATCAATCTAGTCATTTTACCGATTTAGTCATTTTGTGAATTAATAAGTATAAACTAAGTCGTTTAATAATAATTGAACATCAATCTAGTCATTTTGTAAATTATTAAGTATAAACTTAGTCATTTAATAATAACCGATGATCGATTTAGTCATTTTGTGAATTAATAAGTATAAACTAAGTTGTTTAATAATAATTGAACATCAATCTAGTCATTTTGTAAATTATTAAGTATAAACTTAGTCATTTAATAATAACCGATGATCGATTTAGTCATTTTGTGAATTATTAAGTATAAACTTAGTCGTTTTATAATAACCGGAGATCGATTTAGTCATTTTGTGAATTAATAAGTATAAACTAAGTCGTTTAATAATAATTGAACATCAATCTAGTCATTTTGTAAATTATTAAGTATAAACTTAGTCATTTAATAATAACCGATGATCGATTTAGTCATTTTGTGAATTATTAAGTATACACTAAGTCGTTTAATAATAATTGAAGATCGAATTAGTAAATATAAACAAAGTAATTTAATAACAACTAAGGCAGTTATAGGAACAACTGAACTAATTGTAGGAACAACTGAAGTAGTTGTACTGACAACTAACAGTTGCATGGAACAACTAATAGAGTTGTACAAATGACTAAATAGTTGCACAGAACAACTGAAGGAGTTGTACAAACAACTAAACAGTTGCACGAAACAACTTAAGGAGCTATACAAATGACTAAACAGTTGCACGAACAACTGAAGCAGTCGTCCAAACAACTAAACAGTTGTACTAACAACTAAATAATTGTAGAAACATCTAAAGTCCTGAAGCAATAACATGGATAATTGAAGAGAAAAAGAGACAATTAAAGTAGTTGATAACAAATACACAAAAACTGAAATAATTATATCATAAACTAACACACAAAAATAGTTGATAACCAATAGATATAATACCTATCCAAATATTTTGTAAATTAAGTACAAAAATCACCTTCATACACAACTACTCTCTCAAGGAGTTAATTCCTTCTCAAGCACCACAACAACATACTTCATCCTACAATTATCTTGTATGTGGGTGTTGCAGCCATCCATTTAATCATTCTTAGTGGCTTAGCTCTTCGCGCTTCCCGCAGGCTTTTTTATAGAGAGAGAGTAAGGGGGCGGCACGGAAAATTGATCCGCTCCGAAAAGCTAAGTTTTTCGGTTCACCCCCCTATGTGGTTGGCCTTCTTGCCAGTCTGCCTCCTTTCTCTTGATGAAATAGATCAATACCCGAGCTCCAGCGTTGCTTGCGTTCTTCACCGGGAATATATTAAGTTAATGAATTCTCTACAATATTTGGAGATTTAACCACTTTATCAATCAAAATTTCACCTTCTTTTTCAATTTTCGCTAATTGCTAACTTAGAGGAGAAAGAGAATGACATCGAAGTCCAATCATAATAGAGAATTCATTAATGCCAAAAAAAATTGGCAAACCATTATAATCAATCCAAACCTCTTTTTTCTTTTCAGAAAAAATACGACAAAGATTAAGATCATGTACTAACTTTATTGGAAGTTTTACTGCTACATCTTTATCCAACTTCAAACAGTGACCAAAGCAAGATTTTTTAAAATCATTTTCAATATTTTATGTGATTAGAATCTTTCTAAACTCAACAAATTGAACTCCAAAACCGACTCTTGCATTGATTCTAGAATCATAAGACTCGAACTCATTCAAGTGAGTCTTAAATTTATACGTACCGTTGGCAATGGTTTTGACATAATCTGGAGAGGATTCAATACCTTCTTCTTCTTTTTTATCTGATTGCTCACTTTCACTTTCATCACTTTTTTCTTCTCCACTAGATTTATCTCCATCACTTTCATTACTTTTTTCCTCTCTACTTAATTTATCTCCATCGCTTTCATTACCTTTTTCCTCTCTACTTAATTTATCTCCATCACTCTCATCATCTTTTTCTTTTTTTCTTGAATTTTTGTTGCTACTCTCATTACTTTTTATTTCACCTAATAGGTCACTGCTGCTCTTACTACTTTTTTCCATCTCACTAGATTGTTTGCCACTATTTTCATCACCTTTTTTTTTTCCTAATAGGTCACTACTGCTCTTACTACTTTGAAGTGTTTCAGTACCTCCTTTTTTAGCAGCAGTTAAGCTCTCAGCATTTTCTCCAGCATCTGGATTGGATGAAGATGTTTCAATTCTCTTCCTCTTATATTGACGCATTATATCTACACTAAAATAGTTTTAAAAATTAGTAAATAGTATAAAATTAACTTAATAGGATCAGTAGAAAATGTGTAATTGTAGTACATTAAACATCAATAATTATATTATTTGTCCTACAACTAATCAATTGATCAACAACTGAACACAGTTGTCCAACAATTGTCGTAATTGTGGGAACAACTTATTTAGTCGTCCGACAACTACATGCAGTTGTTGGACCATTTTGTATCCGAAAGATATGCCTAATTAATCCTATAAACAACTTCACTAGTTGTCCACACAACTACGAAAGTTGTTGGCTGAAACAACTAAATTGAATTCAATAAATTCATTAGCACAAAATAATTTTATACGGACGAAAAAAATTCTTTTGAGTTAATTTCAACTTCAAACGGAATAAATGCAATGCAAAACAACAAAAAATTATCATAAATAGATGATAATGATTTTCTTCTTTATGAAACCCTAGTTTTAATAATTTGAAATAGAAAAGAGAAGAAAATTTACCATGTATGATCAGGAGAAAAAACAATAGAAAATGTTGAATGATTTTGAAGTCGAAGAAGAAGCAAAAAGTTTGAAATTTTTTCCAAATTTTCGTCGCTTCGTCCTCCCCGTCGTCCAGTTGTGTTCTAACTGAAAAGGAACTCTTCAAAAACTAATGAGTATATACAATTTAGTCTTTAAGTTTTTATCACAATTTTAAAAATACTATTTTAAGTCCTTAAGTTTTTAAAATTAGTAGTTTAGTCCTTTTTTATTAATATTAAAAACGAGAAAATAGAAAAGAAAAAAAAAGAGGGACCCACTTGTCCCTTTTTTTTAATTGAAAACTTAAGAGGCATTTTAAGCTCATTTTCTCACTTCTTCAGTTGATAAACTATATAAGGTGAGAAATAAGGGGTCTCTTGGCTTACAACTCTAGTTGAATGAAATTAATTATTACTCTATCCATTAAAATGAACTGAGCACTAGTTAGTTCTCCTTTTCTCTCAGCAGAGTCCAGCCATGGGTATCATGGGTACCACCCATATGTCTGATGATGTTTACTGCAAGCTCCTTGTCAAGCTGTACCGATTCTTGGTAAGGGACTAGAAACAAGTTCAATGTGGTGATTCTGAGCAAGATTAACAAGCCTTTACTATCTCTCTCAAGGTTGATTTCTTACGCCAAGGGAAATGGGGATAAAACTGTTGTCATTGTGCATACTATTACCGTCGATGTTAGAGATTATAAGTTTCCAAAATTGAAGGTGATAGAAAATAACAAATAGAACGATGAAGAAAGCAGATTGAAATAAGCAATAGAAGAAACAATTATTACTGCGCAACTCTCTTATCTTCAATATCAATCAGGATAAGTCAATATATAGACTTTTACAAAGAGTTTTCTGTTACGCATAAAACCCACAAACCCACGACTACTAGGACTCCTAACAGTCGCTACTAACTCACTAAGAATCTACCCACTTCCTAATAATTAGGAGTTGAACATTTCAACAAAATAAAAAGGCTAACAAACATTAAATAAATGATTCCTAAACAAAATAACACTTCCAATAATGCCTCCCTTAAACTGATAAGTCACATACATCGGTTTAACTATCTTCACAAGAGATAACATGCTTCAATGTACAAACTCCCAGTAGCTTTCTTAACTTCACGACTGCTGCATGATTGAGAGGCTTGGTTAAAATATCAGCAACTTGGTCTTCACTTTTGCAATAGACAACATCAATGATCTTATCCCTTGTGAGATATATTTGGAAATGAAATTTCACATCAATGTGTTTGCTCCTCCCGTGCAAAACTGGATTTTTGGAAAGCTTAATCACTAAACCATTATCACAGTAAATTAGAGTTGGCTTTTGAGGAAGAAGGCATAGTTCAGCTAGAATATTCTTCAGCCAGATTGCTTGAGTGGCACACACAGTTGCTACCACAAATTCTGCTTCTGTAGTTGACAACGTAACAATTGGTTGCTTCTTGGAACACCATGAAATAGCACCTGATCCAAACATAAAAACATAACCAGTCGTGCTTTTCCTATTATCCTTATCTCCAGCAAAGTTACTATTTGTGAAGCCAATTAAATCTGATTTTCCTCCTTTTCTATACAAAATGCCAAGATCATTCGTACCTTATAAATACCTGAGAATTCTTTTAGCAGCCAACAAGTGAGTCTCTCTTAGCTTTTCCATGGACCTGCTTATTAGACTTACATAGTACATTATATCAGGTCTAGTCGCTGTCAAATACATCAAACTTCCCACAATCTTCTTGTAGAAAGAATTGTCAATCCTTGTTCCTGTAGGATTTTTTTCAAGCTTCAGCCTCCTCTCTGCTGGTGTGGCGACAGAATTGCAATTTGTCATTCCAAATCTCCTTAAAATTTCATGGACATATTTCTTTTGTGAAATAAAAATTCCACCAGAGGACTGCTTCACTTCAATTCCCAGAAAGTAATGCATCAGGCCAAGATTCGACATATCAAACTCGGTCATCATCAATTGCTTAAAATTATTAAGCAATACATGATCATTTCCAGTATAGGTTAAATCATCTACATATAAGCACACAATGACAAGCTTTCCATCTTCAATTTTAGTATAAAGTGTATGCTCATAAGGACATTTTTTAAAACCTGCGGTATTAAAATAAGCATCAATGCGACTATACCAAGCTCGTGGAGCTTGTTTTAGCCCATATAATGTTTTTCTCAATCTGCAAATTTTATGTTCGCTGCCACACTTAATCTAACCAGGGGGTTGATCAACATATACCTTCTCTTGTAATTCTCCACGTAAGAAGGCAGATTTCACGTCCAGATGATAAATTGGCCAGTCATTCTGGGCTGCTAGTGCCACCACCAACCTGATGGTGTCAAGTCTGATTGCTAAAGCAAACACCTCTTTGTAATCTACACCATACTCTTGCTTATATCCTTTGGACACCAAGTGCGTCTTGCACTTGTCAACTTCACCATTTTTATTGAGTTTGGTTTTATAAACCCATTTAACTCCAATTGTTCTTTGCCCTTTTGGTAGATCAGTAAGCTCCCAAGTGTCATTTCTTTCAATTGCCAAAATTTCAGCATCCATTGTCTCCTTCCAGTTTGTTTCTTGGACAACACTTTCAAAATTTATTGGGTCACAATTTGCGAACAATGCAAAATGAGCACTTGGCTCATCATTGATATTGACACTGGTTACCTGGTAGTCTTGCATCCATGTAGGTCTTCTTCGGACATGAGGAACAACTTTCTCTGCTTCGATAGGTTCTTCTGTAGGTGGCAAAACCTCAACAGTTGGACCAGCAGTTGCTGGAATTTCAGACCTTGGAGCTATGTCCTCAGATTCATCATCGCATAGAACTTGACTAGACAACTCTTCATCCCAATTCCAAGTATTGTCTTCATCAAAAACAACATATCTACTAGTCACTATCCTTTTTGTCAAAGGATTAAATAACTTGTACGCCATCAGGTTGGTGGTGGCACTAGCAGCCTAGAACAACTTTCGCTGCTTCGATAGGTTCTTTTGTAGGTGGCAAAACCTCAACAGTTGGAGCAGCAGTTGCTGGAATTTCAGACCTTGGAACTACATCTTCAGATTCATCATCGCATAGAACTTGACTAGACAACTCTTCATCCAAGTTCCAAGTATTGTCTTCATCAAAAACAACATCTCTACTAGTCACTATCATTTTTGGCAAATGATTAAATAGCTTGTTGATTAAAGTTTCAAGGACACTTCTTCCAATTCTAAGTGTCAACGATCATTAGTTAGTATAATAACCCAACTAAATGAGTTGGGGTCGAATCCCATAGGGAGCGATATGTGTTTAAGATTTAATCGGTAAGTCCAAACATGTTCGAATCATTCATAGGAATAGACATTATCGAATAAAAACATAATTCAAATCAAGGGGTGACACGAATGTCAACTAAAGGGGTTTTGGTTTTAGTTATCAACTATAGCAGTAACAAATTAATACAAAAATAACAATAGAGAGACGGGTTCTTGGGATGTGATTCGATTACAGGCTATTATAGACAAATGGGTAATTGCAACTGTTAGAAAATAGTTGTAAATCAGTGCATAAGCTAGACTATAGAGGAGGTAAATTTTCTCTATCAAGTTGATTTCTCTCGAACATCAACAAGCATGCAAAATAAGAACAACATACGCTTTAGTCCATTCACTCTCTCGAGTTGAATGTGTGGAAAAGGGTTTAGGATTCACTCTCTCGAGCTGAACTCATGACAACCCAATACCCACAGACCATCAATCAATAATCTTTGTTTTAAAACCTCTCTCTCAAGCAAGCCAAAAATACGAAGGTAGAACTGCATTTACAACTACAATTCTTTAATTTAAGCCACAATTACTGATTTAAATCACTTCTAAACAGCAATTACACTAACAATTAGCAACACCCATTAGCTAAATCAACCCATAATCACATAATCACACCCCAAGAATTGGGATTTTAGCTAGACATCATAAAAGATAGATATTGTTACCAAATTGTGTTTCCATCCACTAGGTACGATTAATTTCGTCTTCACAAAGGTCCAAACTGAAGAATCTCAAAGACCCACTTCCAATTTCTCAAATATGGAAAACTTCAATTCTTCAAAGCCAAGGAAAACTTATCTCTCAGTTTAGAATACTCACTATTCAAAAATAAGATACTTGATAATGATAAAAGCTTTATTGATTAAATGTTCAAAAATGTATTTATAGTCGCCAAAAATATACTGCGAAGGTCTATTCGGTGCAATAAGTCGGGCTCGCTGATCCACTCGACAATGCTCCATTTAGCCAATTTCATCGCTTTTTTGTCTTGGCCTTCAGCATCCTCCAGGTCTGTAACTTTGGGTGATATAACACTGCATCGCGGAACCACTCGGCGATCCACCGACTGCTTCTTTCTCTCGCCGACTTGACTTTCTCTTTCAGGGCTTGGCATACTAGAACTTTAGGCGATCAAATG